AATGTCGAAACCAACCCAATACCCCTAGCTTAATTACCCTTACCCATTCATTAAACCCAACCCAGTACGCCTAAATCCTGATCGTTGATCAAAAATGATCAACGGCCCACAACTAACGACCTTCATCCCTTATATCCCTCCTCTCTACCCTAATCCTCACTTTTCTAAAAATCGCCGCCCTCATTTCCCCTCCCATGTTGAACCCTAACGCCTCCGCCTCACCTAAATTCCGGTCCTAATGGGATTCTTACCCTATTCCCTTACCATTTTAGGGTTCTTCCCTTATTTGGTGTTACATTTCGGAATAACTTAGGTACTTGACTAAATATGGCAAGTACCCCGATTTGATTCCGTCCAAATCTGTGTTTATCTTTTGAATCCGGACGAATCTTGAGTCCAAGTACGTTATTTGTGATGATTCTCTCATATCTCTCTTGATTCGCACTAAGCCCTAAAGGTTAGGGTTTCGGATCTTCTTTGATTTGAACCAAATCTGGTTCAAACTTTGTTTTTTATTAACATTTCATCGTCTATATTTGCTCTATTACTTATAGGTGTGTTCATTTTTGCCGATTTTTTGACTTACCTAATTTAGGGTTTCAAACCCCTTTTACTTGAATCAAATCTGGTTTGATTATAAGTTTCATTTTTAAGATCCTATATATGTTTATTTTGTGCTAATATGTGTTCTTTTCCTTTATTCTTGCTGATTTTGTGTTTTTACCCAAAATTAGGGTTTCAGTCCCTTTTTACTCAAGCTAATCTGGTTCAAATTCATTTCTCTTTTGAATAATCCCTATCTACGTTCATTTGTATGTGTTAATACATGATTCTTTGCCATTATTCTCTGCTAATTTCGGGGTTTACCTAATTTAGGGTTTCCAACCCTTTTTACATGAATCAAATCTCGCTCGATTGAGTATTCCTTTTACAATGATCTTTTGTCTGTCTAATGTGATTCTTTATCTTATTTCCTACTGGTTTTGTGCATTTTTTCACCTAAAACTTAGGGTTCAACCCTACTGATTTAAACACTGACCTCAGTATTTAAGTGAGAAATTCTTTAATGCTAGAAGATTATTCGAACCCCTACCCACTCCCCTTTGAAATAAAGTTTAGGACTCAAGTTCTTTCACCCCTAGCAATACTTCTATGTGCTTTTGAATCCTGGCCGGCTGGAAGCCAAGGCCAGAAATCCCCAACTGTTTTGCTTCTGTTGGTAACAATTGTTACACTGTTGGATTCCCTTTTCCTGTTTCATCTTAACTGGTGAGTTTATTTAATCCTTTGCTATTCCATTATGATTACATGCTTAATGTGTTACTATTATCAAACCATGTTACCCCAAATGCCATTACCTATATTTAAGACATGTTGAACTTAGTTTGAATCTGCCTAACTCTGTGTAATTTAGGGTTATTCTTTAGCCTTAAATGCCTTTATACCTTTCCTAAGGACTGTTTAGTTATGTGTGCCTTAACAGATTCATCAGTTTGTTTATTGAATATGTCACCATGTGACTTGTTTGGTTCTGTGCTCACTATACTATGATACCTCTGCTAAATTATTTAATCAGTTCCTAATACTAATTAGTGTGTTCCTGACCTACTGTTAATCAATGGGCTTTCTTTCTGTGACTTAGTCTGATCTGCAGTCTTTGTTATCACTATGAACATGTTTATGAACAGGTCTTATTAGCACATGACTGTGTTAACTTCTAAAAACTTGATTAAGTCTACTTAGGTTCAAATGTGTTGCTATTTGTTTGTGTTCTATGTGTGATTCTGTACCCCCTAATCCCATCCTACTCTCCTGAATTCTCACTCTTTGCTGGCTAAAAGCCAAAGCAATTTAGGTTTTGTCCCTTGGCCTCCCTAGTGTGAGCACTGCTCAGGGTTCATATGAGACCCCCGTGAACTCTGACACACTAGGATTTGGTCCCTAGTCTTCTTTGAACTGTTCTGATCATTCTTCTCTCGTGCCTAACACCTTCTACTTGAAGTAATATGAGCCCTTACCCGATCTTTGGTGATGCAAACTAGTAAACCCGAGTCATTTGCAATAGGTGACCTAACGCACCTTAATCTATTAGGTGGCGACTCTCTTTTAATAACCCTTCCTCCCTTTTTAAAAGAGTTGTCAATGTCGAAACACGATTTTGCGAGAAAAAGGGGGGCGCGACAACGTTCACGTCTTGAGCGTTTAGGGCAGTGTGGGGCGCTGGCCGTGGCGCTCAACTTTTCAGCATTCTGTTTTGTGTGCCACAGGTAGCGCCCCACGCTACCTGTGGTGCTCAACTGGTCCATTTCGCCTTTTCTTCCCATTTTTGCTCCAATTCGCACACTTTCGTCCCAAAATCACATGTGAATGATTTCTACACATAGAAATACCACAAATTAGTACAAATTATTATATTATACATCCGAAATTTGTGGGATATGAGCACAATGTGAGGTAATATACATCAAAATATGCATACATTAAGCCGATTATCATGATCCACTCGAATTTTAGGATTGCGTGTGTCATTAGCAGTGTTATCTGTCATTTTTAGTGATTTTTTTCTAAGACAAAGCAATCAAAACACGTTAGTAAAAAATGCAATGATCAATTTAATTGCATGACTGTCTAGGCCCCACGATGGGCGCCAAACTGTTTACCCGTAAAACGGTACAGTTAAATTTATACGTAGTTTCTAGACAAGTGAACTAATTTGATCCCGAAATAATGTAATAATTGAAGAAATACATAATATTTAGCCTTAGAATATAAATGAAATAGCAAAGATGATGATTCCGTGAACAGTGTTCCCAGGCACAATGATGATGAGATCAAAAAGCAAGAAAGTAAAATTGTATAAAGCTTTGTATAGAATAGAGTGTAAGTTTTGCAAGATAATTTGTGTCCCTTACAATGATAATTGAGCTTATTATTTATGGCTATATCTAGAGAAGGAGGTCGTAGGATCATGCCCTCCTTTAATGTTAATTATGAGGGTCGTTGATGAAGATGTTACGTTGAACATAAATGCCAAACTCTTTGTAACAGACCATCACTCTTAGTGCTGCAGAATATTTTCTCGTAAATGCTACCGGGCACACATCATTTAATGCACCTTTATAAACGTTATCATTTCCGATGATAAGCGGAACGACTGCGTCCGGTCTTCGGCCATCCTCATCTTGGGTTCCACGTATCCTCCTCTTAGACAACCACATGTCATATCATATTTTACCCTATACAAACATATATCTTTTTTGCAAGCAATTTTTAAATATTTTTAAATGTTAATTTGACCAATGTAATCTAAGAAAATCCCCGCAAATTGAAATGGAGGGAAGTTTGTAGCATGTACTCTCACCTTAATTACTACTAATTAATTAAGGTTAAATCATTTGATTTGGCAAAAACTTCTTATGAGAGGGGCAGGAGTACACGTATCAGTACTAGAGGGGGCACTCACAGTCAAAAGGAAAAACAAGGGGCGGCACTCCAATATATCAGAAAAGCTCATCCCCAAACCCTAACTATATAAACAGAGGACAGCCATTTCATCAGCTTCCACCTCAAAGTAAGGTTATTCGCTAGCTATTCAGTATCTCTTGAGCTTCTCACTACCAATCCCAGCCGAAGCCATGGTACTGTTTTTCTCCATTTTCGATTATTATTAGCTTGATTTATTATGCAAAAATATAATCATCAATAAATTTTTGTTTTAATTTGGTTGTGTAGTCGAGGAGAAAGACTAGGGAGCCAAAGGAAGAGACCGTAACACTTGGACCAGCAACGAGGGAGGGTGAATTGGTGTTCGGTGTTGCTCACATTTTTGCCTCTTTCAACGATACTTTTATTGTGAGTTGTTTGTGACGCTTCTTATGAGATTATAGAAATTGAATTTATGATTTTAGTGTGTGCGCTGAATTTTAATTTGCATGTTGTTCAAAAATGCAGCACGTGACTGATTTGTCTGGAAGAGAAACTATGGTTCGCATTACTGGTATGCTTTAGTGTGACATTTGTTTCTAGTAGTTGCTGATGCTATTATTTACATTTTTTGT